AAGTGGATTGGTTGGTTTCTAGAAGCACTATACAACATTGTTTTTGGCTTAAATGATAGGACCAAAATTGATCTAAATCTTAATTTTAAATAAGCATATTTACATATTTGTTTGTTTAATCATATGGTAAGCAAAAGCCAACTGAAGTTATATGTATACGTTTAGAAAAGGACAACCCGTATCGGCTTTTATTTAAACACAGAATGACAGCATTTAATTTTTGTTGTGTTATGAATAATACGAAGAACAGTAAAACAGTTTAAATAGTTAATCAAATACGGGCAGTCCACGCTGACTATGACTAAACCCTTTTACGTTGTCCAACGATCTGTGTATTACAATTGAATGGTAATATATCTAATCCAAAATCTTGCAATCATATAAAATCAAATTATAAAAGGTAATGTTTTTGGTGGAACTATGATTAAGTACAGGATTTATCCTGAGTAAAAGGATAGATGAAGGAAATTTAAATTGTTGTATTGGTTTCGTGTTCTACTCGTCAAAAGTAGGTGTATTTTGTCGATGCCATTTGAACGTAAAAACGCGTGAACACTGTGTACGATTAGCCGGAACTGTCTCCACAGCTGTCAGCAAATATCGTGGTATGAATCATTAAAGGAACGAATGTGAGAAACTAATTATATACACGTATCCAACCGCGGTTGCTCCGGCGAAGTTCGAAATCATTTTAGAAAAGAGCCGGCTGTTATGACTATTTAATACCTATTTCCTATAAGAGTTTCCAGAAAAAAACAGTATTGGTTTTGTGCTTGCATCTCGAAGAAGTATGGTAATACTCTGTAAAAAGAAGCCTGTAAAGTAGAAAACCTTCGCATTTCTTGCAGATTTCTAGAGTGCTATTATCTGAAGCTACCAAGATCATAACGTTTTCTAGACCGCCGATATTATAGTCATTCTTAGCCCGTTATGCGGCCCTTTATACTGCTCCAAAAAGCTGTAAATGTTAAAAATGTTAGTTGTCTATATACATAAGCACAGGAAATATAATGCATTTAGCCAGAGAAAACTGAAGACCCTTAGAAACTGAAGATACTTAGTTAATATGTAGCCATAATATTGCGTAAGGCACAAATAGTTAAGCTTTGTTCTACCCGTTGCACATGCTTAACCGTGTTAGTACATAAATAAACAGCGTCAAATTTGGCGCCTTATGGTGTGCATACGTAAAATATAATGTTGATAATATCATAATTATAACAAAGCGTAACAAGAGCTCGTATCATTTACAATGGTGCCACCATTAGGTGCTTTTACGTATTGTTTACAATTCCAGATTGTCCGTCGCGTCCACCTGTTTTAATTACGCTATATAATCCTTTATTCTTTCAAGAAATATATGAAATAACACCCTGCTATAGTTTGTTTTATAAATATTTCTTGTCAGCTAAAAAGGAAAACCTCCATTAATTCTACTGAGGTAGAGGTAACTGAAGTGCAAACATTTAACGCAGCTGTTCCAGTGGTTATATTGCCACTTCCATTTGTTGCAAATGCTTAGTGAAGATCATAAAATCAATTACTAAATAATGTACATGTTCATTTCGTTGTCTGGCCACCTTTTTCTTATTTAAACGACAGAGCGAGAAGTTGCTTCTCAAATACCTTCATAAATCACCTCCGTGTCTGCCAGAGGTACAGTGGTCAGGTGAGCCGCTCGCTACAGGTTTGACCTTTAAACTGATCTTAATATAGGCGCCATCTACGAATTTTTATTCCACCAGAGGTCTAACGTTAAATAAATAAGAACAGGGTTTTCTGTAATAAAAAAAAAACATTGTGCGAGCAAATCTCTCATAATGCTTCTGCTCCACCTAAGCTCTTAGCCCCCTATTGGTTTACAGAAAAACATCGTTCATCAAGAAAGGCCTTTGGATATTAAATATTAACATCATATAGTGCGACTTTGCTAATTTAGATGAATGATTTCAACTGCCGTATTATGACACCATGTTTTACTGTTAGAAGTCGCTTTTTTCCCGATCCTTTAAATAATCGGTAACTCCAAACCATACAAAACAGCCATCGTTTCATTCTGGTAATTCTAGTAAATTTATGCTGATTACAACAAGAGGTCATTTTCAGGGTTATATTTGTTTGGCGTTTTTTTTTTTACAGCTATATATTCCTTTTTAGTATGGCTGTAAAATCCGGTAAACTATTTTGGAAGCCATTATCTTCAATATGAACTGATAACTTTTCCTTTGTAGTCTTTGATTTGCTTGAATGTTTGTATACTTAGGAAATTAGATACTTTGTCAAACTTTCACGTGCAGCAAACGTTCTTATGAAGAGCTCTTAGTGTTTTTATTTCGTGAATAACTAGATGTTGTGTTGCATTTATTTTCTGAAAAATCACTATAAGTGAGACCCAAACAGGGACTTTATTTTTGTTAGGGATGGAAGTAAATGACACGCGTACTACTTTCCATATTTGCACAAAAAAATCTCAGTTACTATTGCTCTTCGACATGCGAGCGATTACCTGAATAAAGCAAAGTTTTGAAGCTATACTTTATACGTTGTTGAAGCTTTACAAATATTGAAGATTTTCCACCCGATGTCTTCATGTGCTCTTGAAACCATTCACATCGTTCGTATGATATGTTTTACGCCAACTAAAAAACCCTCATTATCCACACAAGTCATATACTATTAACGTATTTTTTTCGAAGCTTCATACTCTTTTTTGATCAGAGACTGAGCCACACTTCTATTGTAAGCATACTGAGCTATTGCCGTATAGGCTTATGTGATTCACCATATGTAGTTCTGATGTACGTAAGGATCATTTAGTGCTGACTTTGAAACTTGAATATTGCTTCCAACCATTAATCCGAGACGAAATTAAGCAGTTATGAGAACTTCGTTGCGCTTTCCTGTGTATATCGCTATTTATTGTTTGCTCATCAAAATGTTTTCAGGATCAGACGGTCATTGGAGCTCGTGGCTACCTCCACAAGTTGACATCGTGCCACTAAAATCCAGCGAAACTCCAGGGGCACGAGTTTTGCGTGTCCGCGGCGCTGCGCGACTTCACGGGGCTCGCTTTGCCTGTCTGGCCGCGAATGGTTTAGGAACTATTCAAGCGATTGTGGAGCTTCATATTAGGGGTACCTGAAACCTTGCCTCATCCCGCTGCAACTTTTGAAACGAGGCTTGATTTCTATCAGTTCAAATTAATTTCGCTGCGTGTACAAAGCTGACAATATGGCATCCTCTAAGCTAATTCATTCTATAGGCATACTTACCGGTTTATTCCGTGTACATAGAACGCTTATTGAAATCACTGTCTTTAGTAACGCAACCGCTCTGTATTATTAAAATTCGTAATCTTTGTTCGTTTTATCAGTTGTTAATACGCCAATTAATCTCGTTAATATTTTAGTCCTAACTACTAAGCTTCTGTCATATCTAATCTTATATGTAAAGATGTACATAAATGCAACTTGCAGAAAAGGTATTTTCCATCGTAAAACCGTTTGGCTGTCCAAAGTAGTATACGAATCAAACAAACAGTTTCTGTCATATTAATTAATGGAAACTATGTCGTAAAATTTTCTCATGTTTATTTCAGAAGCTATCAATCACAAGCTTACTAATAACGTCTTCCATTTTTTCTCTACACTCTTTGCTATCTAGTCGTACTCTGCCTTCAGTTCAATTATCTGTGCAGACTACAAATCAATACGCGCTGCCGGTGTTATGATCAGCAGATAGATCTTCGTTTCTTACCGATAGCTGCGCGCGACCACAATCAGAGCTCCAGCGCATTCGTTGTGAAATAATTACTACTAAGCGCTACTGCGTTCGTAGCCTTTAAAGGTCGTCTCTGTTAAGCAAGACGTCTAGAGTCGGCCTGTTCCAAACTGAGCGATAGTGTCCGATCTTGCCGAGGCTCAGAAGTTGATCAGTTAGCCGTTCAAAAACAATTCATATCGTCCACAAATCGAAAAACCTCTAAAAAGCATAACAACTTATTTAGATGAAGACGTAGTGTGCTTTTGGGCATAAATGCTTAAATGTGAGTGCGTATCTTTCACTACGTCTACTTCTTGTTACGCACAAATATTGAGATGTTGTTTCCAGGTATTTTATTGTTATATTGGTCGACTAGATCGATCCAACAGAGGTATAAAACACATACATAAAAAAATATAAAATTGATCCTTTGGATAAAGGTCGTTTGAGGAGCATTGTTGTGCTTGTAGCAGAGCCTTAATAGTACGAATAGATAACTGACCCTATTCAACACAATTTATCTACGTGGCTTACTATAATGAATAATGAAGACCGAGGGGAAATGCAACTTCAACGAGGGTGAGATGAATTCAACCCGTCGTTTTTTTCTGAATCCAGTCATGGTTGTATTTGTGGAGAACTTCACTAATGATTCACTAGTCTTATACCTAATTACAGCTAACCCTGGATCCTGTTTGTTTTTATCGTGCTTTTCATTCGTAGTTAACTCTGGCTCTTTTGTTTGCTGTCTCTCTGTCTGTTTGCTTATGTCGCTACGGTCAGCACTTGAGCCTTGTAGCTTTATTTGCAGCGTTTTCATCTACCTACGCAAACGCAGAAGGCTTATTGGAACTACCGGCACCGGTGGCCAGCTCAGCTGGGGACATGGTCACTTGCAGATGGCAGAAGCTGTCGACTAATATTAGAATCGATTATAACTGATCGACGAGAGCCGTTTGCATGCATTCATGCCCAGTCCCTTGGGCTATATGTGTGAAATACAGTTGTTCAATAAGAAGTGAAACGTGAACAGAAAAATAAGTTTAAAAACACAAATTGACCGAAACAATGTGTCTAGACAGCGATAAAAATGCAAACAATTGTCATTTGTGAATTTAGCCCAGTGAAGGCGTTATGCATGTTTTACAGCAAAATGCAATGTTAACTGAAATGAGTGATAACTTAAACGTTGACATTATGAATTTAATTAACAAAACTAATCATATGGGAACTTGCAGTTCCGGCCAAGATACCCAGCGGGCATAAGTACGCACCTGTGACGGTTCGCCGCGGGGATACAGCTGTACTAAAATGCGAGGCATTGGGCGATTCTCCATTGAACATAACTTGGAAGAAAGGCGAACAGGTCATCACTCTCGACACACCCAGGTTAGATCGGAATATTAACTACGTACGACAATTTTCTATCAAGCTCGAGTTAAGGAGTGCGTTCAATAAACTGATTTACGCATTTATCATAGATCGCAGAATTTTTCATGGGGTAGGGACCTCAAGAAAGTATGACAGAGTAAGTATCTAATTACATGTCTGTTTTTCCAAAAAAATCCGTGCAGAATGGAGGTAATTGAGAACACCTTTGAGGGTGGGATTAACTCGGAACTCCAGGTAGCATCAACGGATCGGGCGGATAACGGCTTGTTCACCTGTACGGCTGCGAACGCTTATGGAGATGATAAGCGAACAATCAAACTCAGCGTTCTTGGTAGGCCATCCTACTCGAAATGGCTTGTTTTGTACAATAAGTATCAATATATGGTCCGCTGCCAAAGCCATATAGACTTCGATTTAAACAAATAAAGGGCAATATTCTTATTTATTTCAAATATTTTCGTTTACAATTTATGAGTGAGTTTTGTCTAAGATTTAAATCATTACTAATTACAACAGAATTGTTCTTTTCTTTGAGAGTTCTAAACCGTTCCGATCGTTTTGCTTAGAGCTACAGAGAGTGCCTATATAAATTTAAGAGCTGAGCGTAACAATTTATGTTCCACTCATGCTCTAATTCGGCTTTTATAGTTAATAGCACTCTACTGTTGAAGGTCGAGCATAAAGGATCGTTGGACCGTTTTGACTTATTTCTGGCTTATAGCAAAGCTTACGGTTCTCACTTTTGATTATCAAAAAAAAAAGGCAGCTTAAGTGAACGAGATTCTTTGTTATTGTTGTTATTTTTATTTTTTTAAAGATCGCTATTTCAAATTTAGCTTCTAAACGTTTAATGAGTAACCAGTCGGTCACACTGAAAGCTAACATAATTAATTTTACTGGGCTTTTCTTTATGATTGTGACATACAGAGGCACCGGGAGCCCCAATCGACGTTAAAGTCATTGAAACTTTTTCCAATTCAATCAGACTGCGCTGGGCAGCTCCGTATGGCAGTACTTCTGTCACCAAGTATATCATTCAGTACTGGAAACATCACGGTAAGTAACTCAATAAGCCAGTCAATCTTATGCGTAGCTATGAGACTTGACAATTGAGCTCCATAGCTATTAAACGATAGGATTATCAATCTTGACGTTCCCGAAAGTAGTGATTATTAATGCTGAACGAGAACAAGCGCCTTTCACAAAATGATAACATGTCACCTATATGATAAGAAACCCCATAAACTATATCGTAGTATACATACGTGCATACGTGTATGTAATTGCACCACCAAAGTCGCCGCCATCAGCATTTGCAGTCGAAATTAATTAATGTAATGAAAAAACAATGGAAATAGTTGGCCAAAGTCATTACACGTTAAATATCTTTGTTTGCAAGCTGCTCCACGAGGATCTAAACATGTTCAGAATAATTGTAAGAACATAACAGACTAGAGCAATGATTTTCTGATAGGGCTAAGTGTAAAAATAGCAGTATACTTACAGGACCAACAGAGAAAAGTAAATATTCGGGGCAAGCGTAAAACTCCTAAGCGAGATGAGACGACTGTCTCCGAACAAAAGTTTAGATGTTAGATTTACCCAATTTTCACAGTCCATTGTTTCCAAATTGCCACCGTTAAAGGAACCAATAGCGGCGAAGAGCAACAGTGATGGTAATGCATCTAGTGAATCTTACGCAGCTCCATATTTAGCCATTAGCTCATTCTATGACGAGTGCAGCGTATTGTGCTTTATCATGCATTTCCGTGCTTTTAATACGGTATTTTTATTTCACTACTCGCGTATAGGCAGTATGGACTGACAGAAAGTTCTTCGTATATAAAGTAGAAGGGTCATTGAACAGTATGACGAGAACTTTTGGCCAATGCTTAAACAGAACGAAATGAATAAGTCTGATTTGCTCATTCCGTCAGTAGATAATCGTTCATAATAGAACGGGTCGCTTATTTCGTCTTAGACATCTTGCCAAGTAAATCTGTGTCGAACTATTGATTCAGTTGAGCAGTAAAAGTAAAATGTGTACTAGTTCGCATTTTATACGATTATTCCTATCAGGTCCCTTCCTCTTAATTTGAACAAATATTGCGTATCATATACCGATCGTATTTTATGTAAATCTAAGTATTTTCAGTATCCGCCGTGAAGGACAGTGTAGATGCTTCAGGAATAGAACGGTCTAGTGTCATTACTACTGAGCAATCTCCTATGCCTCTGTCTCCCCCTGGTATCAGTCCAGTCACAAGCCGTGCTTATGTTTGCGAGAAACTCCATCTAACGCTACCAATAGTTTAACCAATACGTCTTGCAAAAATACGATCTTTGCTTACGGCAGTCGTCTCGGCACGACAAGCGTAATCAAATAGTCTTCTTTAGGTTAGTCTTGTCACAGCGGGCACGTTTCCATTGCCCCATCGATTCGCTCAGCGTAAACAATTATTTCACTATAAAAAATAGCGGTTTACCGAGGAATCTATGTATATTGTCGCGATCGCTCTATTCTGACGAACAGTTGTCTCTTCGCCCCCTACAGTATGATCATTGAGGTACAGACGTAGTTCCACCCTTATTGAATTGATTCATTAAAAGAACAGCAGTAAGCTGTTTATGGTATTAAATGAATTTATCTAAAATGCAATCGAGAATTGGGATAAGGCGAGCAGATTCAGCGATATTAATTCTCTTGCTATGCAGTTGCTTATCGAATATCTAAATATTTCCAGCTTGTCATACAACAACTCAAATGCCACATCGCTTTTAGATAACAGATCGTCTGCTAGGGCAACATGGTTTATCCGGCGACCTCAAGTAATCGTGTTGTAGGATCCATCTCGCTATCTCATCCTCCTGTCACACTGTGGTAACGTGTGCCCGCAAGACACACATAGGTCGCCATTTATAGTCGCGTTTTTTTTACTGCTGAGTATAAGTGGTAGGTTTTTGGTTTCTGAACGACCGTAAACCCGAAGCGTCTTGAAGCTTCCGGCTCTAGAGTCTCTTGGACTTTGATGTCACGGAAGGCGTGAGGTGCGCGCACTCGGTCCAGCAGCCGCACAACCTCTGCTTATGTTATTCTCTGGCATGTAGAATGCGATAGCACTTCTGCCCTCTCAAAATAAACTTCTCGCTCTTTCAATCGTGGCCTTTAACGATCTGATTTCGCAAGCCCTGTTATAGTTGGTTGTCTGTACCTTCAACTTTGCGAAACAACTTCGCAACAAACTTAATAAGCTAGCGCACTTTCAAAGCGGGCAACCTGATGAACCTGAAACAGATAGTTCGTGGATATACTTTTGTTGTTTGTTGTGTGGAACTGAGAAGGAGACACGTCAGCTGAATAGTTACAGCAGCTGCCTATCTCTGGATATAGTTAGCTGTGGTCTCCATGTTGGATTATACAGTTCAAGTCACTTTAGGACGGTATTAGGTAATAGGTACGGCTATCTCGATATGTCTTTGTTATTTGACCGCACAAGGCAAATGACAGCTAAGGGTCTTTTTTTTTGGAAACATTTAATAAAAAGACGACAAAGGAACAGTAGGGCAGCGAGCAAGGATGTTGCTTATTATTCGCAAATAAAGTGATGGATAATCAAGGCGGTGAAACGTTCTAATATGCTCTCATTGTTTCTGATTGGCGGTTGCCGCTCTTTCTGATCTCTATTATTTCTAGACTCAGGTGTTTTTACGGTTTTTGCTAAAAAGCATTTCCATGTTGTTATCCATCGTATAAAACATAGGCGTTCAAAGGAACACTTAGCGACAAAGCAGTGATAGTTTGATGGTTCCACGACCCCTTACGACGACCTTAACTTGAATGTTTGTGTATATTTTTTAAGCAAATATAGATATTGCTATTTGAGCATCACCGACGTACAACAACATTGCGCAGTATGCCCGTCAGATTAAAAACATTTAACGCAGTATCACGTTATTGTCGATGACTGAAATACACCTAGCAGATGAAGGAATAAAAAAACTTGCCACCAAAAATTTTGATGAGCGGTGAATCTGTATTATTGAATGCATGCAAAAGAATTTTACAGAAAACCACCACCAAATCATCACCAAAGACGTCTTGCGCGCCACCAGTTGCTAGGTTTCGTGCGTTCGCGGCCATTACGAAGGTTTCAAAGTTAACTGGAAAGAAGCGTGCAAAGGCACACTTTAATTAAGGGAAAAACTCGATTGTTACAGCGTTCCCTATTGACATTAGTCTTTGAACATGAGAAACCGCAGAAGTGTTGGTTCCATAGTCAGAATGACTTCTTTAGCTATAAATAACTGAATTTAAATAGAAAAAGCTGTGAACGTACAATCTTTATAAATATAACACTCGGAATGAATGTTGAACGTTCTATGACCGTCGTCAACTGATGAAGTATATGCAGAATGTGCAAACGCGACGCGTATTTTTTCTGTAAGATAAAACCATAGCAATCGTATCTGACATATTTTTTTTCCATACGACTTCATCGCGAAGACTAACAGGTTACAGGTAAACGCCTTTAGCAAGAACTGAATACGATATATATGTTACCGTTATAGAACACGGTCCATTAGCCTCCGCCCGGTCTTAATGTAATCACCTTAGAATGACATTAGGTTATGTATGCCTTATCTCGATACGTATTTGCTATTTGACCATACAGTGTAAATATTCATGGGCAACTAATGTAAATGTGAAACGGAGCAAGAAAATCGAATCAAGTTTTAGGTGGCAGAAAAATAAGTTTTGTGTAATGTACAATGTTACAACTTGTGTGTGCATCGTATTTTTAACTCTTGCCTCCGCATAGGCTCCGCGTACCGTCTTCACGAGCAAGAGGTTGAGGCGGCGTCACAACTAACGGCGACTCTGACTGGGCTTCGGCCAGGATCGGACTATAATGTGAGGGTGGCCGCTGTTAACGCTGTCGGTAGTGGACATCATTCAGACAGCGTTCGCTTTAGAACTTCAGATGAAAGTAAGTTAAACTCATAGATGACATTTTACTTTAAATTATTAACAAATATTTAGACTTAACTTGAGAGACTACCGTGGATTAATTTTATATTCTCTACGATTGCATGCTATTCTTCTACAAAATCCACTAGCGTATGAGGCTTGAAGGCTCAGGTAAGTCAAACGATGTGGGAGAATAGTCAGAACAGATGATTATGCAGCTATGATAAAGTAAGGCAGTCTAATCAGAACGCTGTTGTCTGCGTGAGAAGCGCGCATCTCTTCGCTGCTCTGGTAGAGGTAACTAACAAGTTTGCAGCCACGGTTGATAAAGTCTTTGTGATGGCAAACATTATAACCGAATAATAATAACACTCAGGAATATGAGGAATGAAAAAATCAAAGAATTCAGAAAGCGTAGGTATTATTTAAAGGTTAACAGCTGCGTATATAACTACCATGCCATTTTACAGGATTGTTGGAGGAACCCCATTTCGGCCCAGCATGACCCACTACGGTTAGACTTTTAATGGGGGGCAAGTGCTTGAAGCTATATCTCAAATTGTGATTCCATTGACCTGTTCACATATGATAAAAAAGCAGGCTAGTAAATTTTTATCAATACTGATCCATATCGCTATCTTGTAACTACTTACAGAACCGTCGGCACCCCCTACTGACATTATTGCTGAGCCAAAAGGACCGACTGTGATCCGGGTTCGTTGGAAGGCGCCACCTAAGGATCAATGGAATGGCGATATTACAAAGTATTACATTGGATATCGGCCGGTGGGCGCGAGTCTGAATTATACTTATCAAACTGCAGCCGCAACACGCCAACAGGAGGAGGAGCATCTTCTGAGTGGATTGAAGAGAGGCACGGAATATAGCATCGTGGTGGCGGCTGAGAACTCTGTAGGTTCCGGACCTTTGTCGCAAGACATTCTCTCCAGGACCTCCGATACTGAGCCCCCCCGACCGCCAAGGATTAGTCTCGAAGGAACCGGAAGGACCTCCATTACCATTAAGTACCAGGAACTCCCTGGACCACAAGCACAGCGTAAGTAGTTTAAACAATAGCAATATAAACAAATAGGAGTGTCATGACTTCGTACGGTACGGCAATATAAAACAAAGACTATGGCGAGCTATTGGCACGTGGCTTATTTTAGAGCTTTTTTTTTAGCTTATTTATTATTCTTTTTAATATGCATACCGTACGTTAGTGTGATCATCAGCTGAACTTCGGAAATCCATGCTTCTTATATGTGTAATATTTTGTTGCACGGATTAAACAGGAATAGTTCATCATTCATTTCATTGCTTCATCATGTGACCCTGACTGTATTGCTTGCAGATTTCATTCTGTCATATCGCGAGCAATCTGGGCCCTGGCGTGAGCTCACAATACCGCGCACTTCTGATCAGCGCTACACATTATCTGGATTACGGGAAGGAACTTCATATGAACTGAAACTTCTTGCTGAAGGCGAGGGTTCCACCAGTGAAGCATCGGAAACAATGACTGTATTGACGGAAGGTTCTCTGTCCGACGCGATCTTCCCCCGGGGGAGTGCCGGTGGCCAGGGCGACCTCCCGGTCTATCTTCGCTGGACAATTCTTGCGCCCACATTGGCTTCCCTTGGCATTATAACGATCGTATCTCTCATCGCTTGCTGCCTCGTTAGTCGAGAACGGAAGAAATACAAGAACATGGTCGGTCAGTATCTACCTAAAGACGTTCACAAGGAACAGTTTCCGATGTCTGCTTTCGTTCTGAACCATTTTTTTTAGAATACATAGAAGGTGCTTAGCTTTCTTGCAATTAGGTTCAGTTCTGACGATCTCCGTTGAAATGTAGGGTTTCACAGCTATGAAAATGGTAGTTCGGGGATTGTGGATGCAGTGACAACTTTGGCGTCTGTTGTTCGTAAAACTCGTTTAAGCAGTTCAACGAATAGTAGACATATCTGTTTCAGCTGATATGCATATAAATAAGCACCCCGTTGATCTCTAGAGAGCTGTCGTGTATTCTACTTGTCAACTCTTTGTATTTTTTTAAGACTACATTCTAAACTAGGCCATCTTTCGACCCAAATAAGAGACTCTGCTGGTACTTTTCGAGAGATTTGCTGTTCTTTCTGTTTTGCGATGAACAACCGTTGTTACTATTGCTTGTCTATCCTTTGTAAGAATTTAAGTCTTAATTCTTAATTTCCTATTAAGTTCTATAATACATTTTGTTCATATTTTTACGTTCTTTCAGTAATCGGTGAGTTCCCTCACGTGACTTACGATGGTGCGTTCAAATATGTTTGTGTCGTATACATTCTAAACTTTTGCCTGCGATAGATAATTATATACGATATAGTTAAATTGGCTCCGACATTTCCTTTCCTAGATGCTTTGCTTCTTACCTATGTTACTGCAATTAACTTTTACTTACCGTTGTCGCTAACTACGAACTAATCCCTACTATTTAAATATCGTGTATTAGAAATGCATAGGCGCTATGCATAGGCAAACGCTACGTCTGCCTTACGCCGGCGGCGGTCTGATTTGCCCGCGTAAATCAACTGAATGTTCATATCTAACATTATGAATTAATAATAACATTGTTTCAAAATCTGATAATAATTTTACGATATCAGTATAGCTAAGCTACCTATAAAAAGAGCAATATTTACTCGACAACCGTCTTCGACCTTTATTCTCCGTTTAAACCTGTTTCGATTACCTTCCCGAAACTCATATGTGCATCCTTTGACACAAGCACCACTAGTCGTAATTAACTATTTCCGTTTTACTTTTCTCGTGTTCATCTGACCTATTCGAACAATTGCGGCGTACTTTCGTGTTGGTGATATTTTTTTCACGGCGGTGCAGTTCCTCCAGGAACGGTTCCCTTGAAAGGGGGGTCAGTTCCAGTTGGAACTCTCATGCCCAATGCCCAGATGACGATCATGAGGCCGGCGGGAGCCGGGGCGACGACGCGTTACGTGGACGTTGAAAAGTACGGTATGGTGGTAGCTCCTCAGGACTGCCCGCTGCTGCCTGGACAGCAGTTTCCCATCCCGTACGCCACGCTGCCCGTCAGACAGCCCCTGGGGCATCCCGGTGCAGCAGCAATGCGGCCACGTGCCGGATCGCAGGTTTGTTATGAAATTACTCAAAACTTTGTTTATTACCTGAAAAGCTGTTCTAACGTTAGACGGTGCATCATTAAATGTTTTATGCGTATCAGTGATTAGGATAGATATATAACTGTAATTATTGCACAATAACGCGACGTATAAATATACGATTCTATCGGCAGGTTGCCTTATAAAAGTGGGCTGTCGGTGTACACTACCGAGGAGTCTGCTTCGATTTTTATATTTTATTCTGCCTTGTCCATATATTGGAATCAATTAGGTTCCTTCAACTTCCAGACCCCCCTTTAAAATCTCTTCGGCATGTTTTTATATTTTCCTTTGAATTTAAGGGTGTATTTACTTTTTATTGCAATGTAAGTGTTTATCACCTTTCACATGCACGTTCGTGAGTTATAACCAGAATACAAAAGGCAGTTTGTTATGTTCTTCTCTTTTTTTTTTCGGTGTTTGGAAATCTTTTTTTCAGGATGTGGTGTTAGAAGAAGGACAGTACGGCGATCACCACTATGATATAGCAGGTTAAGCAGAGGCCCTGTTTTTAACACAGAGAAGATTGGAACAAAGCTCAACCTCTGTAACAACAACCAACTACAATTATTACGCTGTACAAATTACACGAAATATTATTAATTATAATAAGTATATTAATGGTAATGAATGCTAACGATGAATTGCTAAACACCAGATAACGAAAGAAAGTGATCGTACCGGAGAAAATGATGACATCAAACTTCATTCACGCTAGAGTAATCAAGCTAGCGCCTGTGCTGCTAGCAAACAATTTTTTCAATTTACCACCTCTGTAACATGGAGAAAGCACGATTATTATTGTAACAGTTACGATGAACAGCTGCGTAATGTCCGTAAAAATTAGTGAAACGGATGAAAAAAACGGAACACGGAAGTATGCATTTTGCGTTGTACGTTTTCCATTCGGATCGTCTTTGGTTCCATGGCAGTGAAATGGGGGCAGTGGTAATTGACGTGTTTGCTCGTAAACAGAGACATTTGGATAGTTCGTTAAATCCAAATGCTGATGAAAGCAATGAACCTCCTCACACAATGTTTTTTATCAGCCCACCTTCCTTCGCCTCCGGGATTCCTGATCTGACCAGATCGACTGTGCGGCAAATGCCAGGGACCACAAGTATATCTCATTTGAAATGCGGGTAAATAGTCTGACTAAATTGTGATAAATCTTTTAATTACCCGAGTACAATTTTAGTCTTCTCGGGCTTGAATCAAACTGATTTTCTAAATTAGCGAACTTTCACAGAGGCCGTAGCCATCAGCAGGAAAAACACATCCGATTCGATCCTAAGGTTTTGACTAGTATAGCCACCACTGCAATGTTCTCAATCTCTTTAACTTAAAATTGAACTTCTACACCTAATTACACTCGATCACTTTTCTATCTATGAATTTACACATCTCGCACGCCAGTCTTCACAACACACGCATTGTGGGAACACCGTAAACAATGGTCCGTATCATTGTGCTGTAAACCTCAAGATATTGTCCACTATTAAACACCCCCCCCCGCGACAGCGAATGAAATGTGTGCGTTGGGTGAATCAGTGAGTGCAAGGTAAACGGTAGGAGACCGTTGGCGCGATTGTAGCGACTGTCTGAACATTCATATCCTTTTTATCTGTGTACGCCCACTGCAATTCCGTGTTGGTAGCCCGTTCAGCCAATACGAAAAAATCAGATTCTGCTGAGTAGTGTACAATTAACGACTTTATCTATCGTGGGAAGGCAATGTTGACACGTCCGCTATCTAACTCGAGCTTCTCTAAATATTAGTGGTATATACATTACGAGAAGCGTCCGCACGAACGGTCTGGTCTGGGTCAATCCCGTATAGCCCGTTGAACTTTCTATCACTAACTATTGCTAGCCATGCAAACAAGTATCAAACGAAATCTAGGAAGGCGCCGATATAAGAAAATAATTAACTAGCTTAACTGATCATTAGTCTTCTTATTACTATAATGATAAATACCTAAAGAAAGTTGTTCTTCATCTCTCTCTCCAAACACAAGGGCACACAGACACATACTCCTCTCCCTCGCTATATAGTTGCTAATATGTAATAATATAAACAATAATTATTATTATAATCATAGTAAGGATAATAATAATGGTAGCAAAGGGTTTTATTGATTGATTCATGTAGGAACTATTCGGCTCAGTAGACCGAGTACGGAACGAGCTCCGTCAAGCCGGGCTCGAGGGTGAACAACAGAGTAGTTTGAACTAAGCGCAAAATATTAGGTAAACATCAACCAACGAGACGGCAATCGACAAGGTGAACGTAGACAGAAAGGCTACCTTAGGCATATATTCTATCAGTGAGCATACGTATGAAGGCCGTCAAAGGAAATGTGCGCGATGTCGTAAGAACAAGACGTCTTACCTAAGCTATTAGCCACAATGATAAGGAGAACCGGGATTGCCAAAAGAAAAACCCCTATAAAACTAGTCACCAAAAAAAGGCGTCGTGAAGGACAGCACAGGAGATCGTACGCTGTTGGCAGATCTATTATCCACGAAAGCCATCAATTAAACAAACGTGATGATTTGTCATTGCCGCACTCGAAACCGGTGAACAAAATGACCCCCCAACGACGAATGTGGTAGATGTATTTATTGCGACGCAATGATGACAGGGGACAGAGCGCTTAAACAGCAAGCAGCCATTGGCACTGGAACTAATCTCTCCGATAGGGACATAGTCAGATTTGGCAGAGAGGCATTCGACGGCAGAAAATCATCTAGTGGCGGATCGGAGAGTTGATACGTTTTTTTTTCGAAAGAAAATATTTTTGCTCTAAATGTTCTCCTACTACGTTCTCATACGGTGCAAATTTTCTAATTATAGGAGTAATACTATGCCCTATGTAAATAGAAATCTCACCTCGCCCTGTTGCTGCAGGTAGCTTCGTTCTTGTAAATGCAGTACAGGACTTAGGAATAGAAAAATGAATCTATCTCTATGTTATATTGCGTTATCGATTGCTTCCATCAATGGCTGAATCATCACAATATATCGCTGCATTTAATAACAACTAGATATGTGCCAGGTGTATATACGAACATGAGCAAGATTCTGCATATATATATATATATATAAATGTACTAGAATCTCCGTATGCTTTGTCAAATTGACGCTCTTTTTCTCCGTTGACGCGACGAATGTATAGGGATTACCGACCGACCGGCCGGCCGGCCGGCCGACCGACTTCAAATTGAATTGGTTGCTTGATCATACCGAATGCCTCCCTCCACTATTTCATCGAAGAAATTAGCTGACTGTTGCCGTTATGCCAGCACGATATAGCATACACGGATCTGTAAATAGCCTATATCGCATTGTTGACATTTTGAGTTTGCTATTCGTCTCGTTTTTGATCGGTGACCCGTGCGCACGATATTTGCCTATGGCCACTTTCTAGGCCTTCTTTCAAATCCGACCGTTGATCTCGATTTAACTGGCTAAAGACCCCAATCCAAAGCAAAAGAAATATTGAAACCCGTCGTGGGGTCCATCGTTACTGAATTGAGCCATTCTATCAGTTTGCTGAGGCCGGTAGCATTGCTTGCACCATCACACGAGATTTTTAGGGAGTATGTCGTGATCAACGCTGTTGGAAGCGATGCGTTCCAGTGTGAAAGTCAACGGAGGGCAATGAAAATTTTCTAGGTTTATTTTCACTGTGATATATAAAGTGTCACCGATATTCCATTCAGCGAGAAAGAACGAAATAGAAAGGGAGAGAGAGAGAGAGAGAGAGAGAGAGAGAGAGAGAGCGGAGTTACCACATTCTAAGTCTCCGTGGCCCCGAATTGCCATGTTTAAGCTTATTATCAATTACGATTATTAATGAAAGTGTCATGTGAGCGGAGTAATTCCCTAGTAATTAATTGCAATGATGACGGTAATGAGAACACGATGATGATAGTGATACCGATGATTATCATATACAAATACAATATAATAAAACGCAACCATGTAGATGTCATGGCATGATGTTTTTCTTCCCTTCGAGATCTAGCAGCTGGGTGCATAGGTACGACATTTCTACTCCACAAAATAGATGTGCAGATAGATACTGAAGCAAGAAAATCGCCGGAAACACAAAATGATTTCGGAATTCTCTAGAATCATCATTGATCAAACACTTCTCCTTGCCGGCTGCTAGCATCGTACGGCCGATTTGCGATTGAGTAGTTGCAGGAGGGTGCTGACCCACATACAGATTTTGTAATTACTGGGCGCGTAAGACCATAAACGGATTGCTCAGCCTACACGGCGGTTAGTGCTACCATCGATGTACGCACAACTATACCGATTGCCCATCGCCTTTTGGTTGCTCTTTGCCCTCTGAATAGTCCTGATAATCTAAATTTTTAGTAACCGGCAAAAATTTTTAGTAACCGGTAAAAATTTTTAGTAACCGGTAAAAATACCGTGTAGTCTTAACATCTACCGCGTTGGTGTCCCTGCCCAAGTGTTTATCAAACATAAGGAAAGTTCCTTAACTACCTTGTTTTCTATCATTTAACTTTAACGCACTTTCACATTCAGCTATGCAATACTGAACAATGAGCCACAGCAGGGCAACTTATCCTTAGCTTACTTGCAGTATGAATGTCTGAGCGTAAGTTGATATAATTGATGCAAGATGTTAAACTAAAGTAAATGTCCCTGTCGTTCGTGGTCCAGGGCCTCGCATACGGTACATAAAGACAATCTAAGGAACTAATTGAGGATATATTTCCTGTTCTAGTTTTAGGCGTATGCTTTACGATTAAATTTGCCATTATATATGACATACATAGACAGGTTTTATTCAGGTCAATGCCCTAAATTGTTTCCTTCAGGCGGAAGTTAGACTCACATATCGTATATACACGTCTATGAAGATATGTATATCTGACATACAGAAGAAGTTCCGTTCCTCGAAATAATTCACTGGAGATTGATTAGGCATCAAGGCCATAATCGAATACGAATCGAAGGTTTGAAGGTTAGAGGGTAGAATGGTGACAAGACGTCGGGATCCGGAAGACAGGATGCATTGCTGCAATCGAGGAAGCTTTTCACAAAAGCTGTGCCTAGAGTCTGGGCCTCGCGGGCCAAAATTGGTATTTAGCATGTAATGCGTTACTGACTTATGACCCAAATGCTGGAAATGCAAAAACTGAGTAAAAATGAGTCCTCTAAATTAACGCCAGGCCAGCCGAAAATGCGTGCAATGTCTTCCGCGTGCAGTTCGCACTGCGGCAGAGATCACCAGCGTACTAGTTATGATGGCAAGCTTTTGAAGCTATATATTTAGACCGACAAATGGAAACTGACTATTTAACACGTGTTTCTATATGGTAACTGTCCAAATAGCGGCTTTTCTGTCATCGTTGTCTGGTTCAGAAATAAACTGAAATATACACGAATCTAAAAGCTAATTCAGGAGCAAAATAGGATACTATATACAAGGTAGTTCTGCAATGGAAATACAGTCTTTTAGATGGAAAAGCATGTTTATTGTGAAAATTCATAAAGTACAGATTGACTCAAAATAGATAGCATGTTTGCCTGCAAGAATTGCGAAAGTCGGTGGTTTTGGTTCGAAAGCGAGTATCGACATGCTTCGTTTCGTGCCAAAGGCTGACCGTGTGTTGGAATACCTAACGGTGACGTCGGGCGTACAACTCTAATCACAGTTTGATCTAAGAGGACCCTTTGCAAGCGCCCGCACCCAGATGTGCACTTTTTACTGTAATCTAACCGCTGATGCTGCCCACAATAGCCTGAGCAGGTTAATAGACGGTTATGCAATCCAGCATGGTATTTTTCACAATATGTATAGTGTGCCATGGTACTACAGTAATGTTCAAAAGCATACTGTGTTACGTTCGACCAGTAAATAGGATAAGCACGTTCTAAGATTGGATGGTTTTCAATTGAAATCTATTGCAGTCAGGAGGCGATTGCTTGTTTCTTACACACGTTTCTGCACTAACCGTTTTTACATGGAACCGTGTAACTGTAATAATAATTTAGCGAGCAGTTGTTGTTTGGTTTACGACAAAATCGAGAACCAATCGGTTCTTCTTTTTCAGATGTAAATACCGTGTCGCGACGTGCCTTGCCTATAGATGCGCTGCCACGCATACATATGATTTATAGCTTGCTATATGTGAGTACAGATTTATGTAATTTATATTTTTTCCTGAAGAAAATAAATATTATTAATCAATATTTGATCCGTTTCAAGGCAGGTGGCTCTCTAATTGCTTTCACAGTGTCGGTGAGTAGGTTATTAAGAAAAAGCTATCAAACTGGACGTCGGAGCTCACGTTCGCGTTCAGTAGGAGTATCATGGCCATTTTGTTGGACAGCAACCGCACAATTAATGGCTTGTAGCAGAAGAAAACCAATTCAAACAGAAATCGTTTAAAGACGCCTGAGCGTCCATTCGTCGAAAACTTTATATGAGACTAGAAGTCTTTAAAGTACCCAATCTGTTCGAAGTTAGTCTTAGTTAGATGTTAACATGCACAAAATGTTACATCAAGCGTTTGCAGCATCATAGAACAATTTATAAAATAGGGAATCGAAATTATCATCTCAGGACGCATAAGAAGAAGAACGTTATAGTCATTTTGAAGAATTGTTTGCAACGTTGTACAATCTATTGAAGAATCATGATCGAGTGATTGTTACACGTGCCTTCAATTCCTGTCGTTAGCTTCGGAAAAAATCCTGGTTTGTGTAGAAAATGACAGTCTATGTATTCCCGTTCATTCAATACGGGTGGGAAACAGAATGGGAGCGCGTTAAATTTCTTAGGCGTATCTTTGTTGTACAGATTGTCTAGTGGTCCAATTCGATCACAGCTGATGATAATGTACGTTGCTCATGTTCATCCCCGTCTGATCTTAATATTTTCTTGACGTGTACGAGTATGGGTTCGAGAATTCATGAGTTGCCGCTATTATCTTATAGATAAGATGAAGGTATCTTATGCTGTCATCATTGCCAATGGCACAGATGGTTCCACGTATAAATTTACATCACAACTAATTCTTTACCACAACCATGAGAAAAATTGTACACATCGTGTGTACGAGATGTGAAATCGATTATAGAAGACATACCTAAAAAAAATCTAAATATGGCTCTTGTTTGTCACTTGCTTCAACTGTCTATTTAAACGGTCACTTGAGTAATTTTCTACCATCGTTTAAAGGTTGTAATATACTGGTCTTCGAATTGCTGCAACTGGTAGAGTTCTAGGTGGCGCTGGCCACATCATCATGTAGTTTAAGCGGACAGACGCGCTCATTGGCGCTTGGACAGCGCCCACCACAGGTTTCTGTATTGACCGTGACGGGACCAATGCCGGGTTTCCGTAAACGCCTCCATTTACGCCGCCTGCAAAAGAAAATCAGCATAATAATTTACTATGTTGCTGCATTGAGCTTTTCAGCAAAACGTAGTAGGTTTGACAATTTGTAGAGGTAAAATCCGAAAATTATTCCTCGCTAAGCGAACTAAAATACAGTAACAGGAATCCCATGTCAGCGACTGCTGTACACGCACGTTGATTTGCTTAGTTTGAGACAATAAATTCTTTCCGCAACATTACGACGACGCCAATAGACGGTTCAAGCAACAGCCGTACCGCGTGCTGCCAAAGATGTATTTCGTTGCGCTTACACTACGAACACTTGCAGATTGTTCAAACGAAGATATATATGTTCCAAAGAAGAACGAGACACACTATCCCGTAGGATGACGAGAGGATTATCCAAAGGAATCGGACTTACCCATTGCCTTTGTGGCGAGTCTCGAGATACCTGTCGCGACAGCTTGAGCGAACGCGCCGTACGCGTCTACGGGACGCAGAAGGCCAGATCCTATTAAAAGACAGAATCCTATGGCAATATGGAAGCGAACGGCGATCGTAAATGTCATCCTGTTAGGTAGCTCTGACCTTATGATTCGAAGCCAACAGTACGTAGTCTGCCGAGGGCAGAGAGACTGCTCGCAAGTGAGAAATCCACTGACCCGCAAACTGCCTTTTTCACTATGGCGTACAACAGATTGTCTTTATCTCTGGGTTTCATGTTTCGTCAACACATAGCGCGACAGCACATGTACGTTATGTCATCCCAATGTGAGCTCGTACGTGATAATCGACTGCTAAGTTTTGCCATCGAAGAACCCTAAGTGCCTCTAACGAACGCGACATTATCACGTTAGCGGGAAAACGTAAATAAACACGTGAATATCTGTGTGATCGTAGCATGTACCGCGATAAGGACCCGAGAAATGTGACAGCTGAAGTTGGTATTTAAAAGTTGTACTATACTTACACTGCGCACACAATTGTCATTGCATATGCGTATATATAGTATTTTTTGCGAAAACACTCGAACATTACTAAAAAAGATACCAATAATACGACCGCTCCATATATATATATATATATATAGATAATGTAAATCTTCATCTGTTATCCTCTCTAGAGAGAGCAATGCCCCGGTTCTCTTCGGTGTGAATTCACTGATCAAGTAAATCAGTAGTCTGGTCAACAGTTGGGACAAATAAATGGGCTTGAAACTATCAAAAGTAGTCATCAGCTCTATGAATATTTTCATCCAAAAAACTATATCATCAAAAATGACTCAACTCCTTGATCGCTCTGTGAACGGGATTATCTCAGCTCTGAATGTTTTCTACGCTACTTTGTAGAGTCGTCTCACATGATCTGACCTTCTAAATAAAATGTGTGTTAAAGGTAAGCTGAATTTCCTTAAGCTATTATACACACCTAATATCCGGTATACTAAATATAGAAGTTAGCCTAGAAATCATGCATGACAGATACATGAACGCGTAGGTACAAGTATCGCGCAATAGGTCAGTTACTGTCCTGATTATCGAGGAAAACCACTTATCGATCATTCCATTATAAATCAAACACCTCGTAAGTTCGAAAAACCTGATGTACTGCAGTTGCAATAAGTTTTCTGGTTCGTATAGATGAAAACGCGTCGGAAATTGAACCGTTATTTGAATCTTGCGCTGTTGACCAGATGACCAGTTACACGCGAGGGTATCGCTTCATTGATATAGCTAGACAACGGCCCAGCTCACTGATACCGAAATTTCATTAGGGTAGCTATGTCTCCCAAAAAGCTAAAGACATATGATAACAGTAAAAGGTTGCATTTTTAGTCTTTACACCGATAGACTACGTCTCAATAAGATAGAATTTCTTCAAGTAGATTTTTGGCAGGACTTGCATGCGCAAAAATGATCTCTCATGTTAAAAATACATTGGCGAGAGCCGTGTAATTAGGATGCCCTATAGAGCGGAACTTACGGCACAAGTAGAATGGCTACACGTGATTTTCTGCATAACGAACGGAAAACTGTCAGGAACCACAGCACAAGACTGGTAAAACGAGTAAAAATAAACAAATTAATAAAAGCTATAGTAATATCGTAACATGATAGGATAGACTTTAATGGGATACTGAAGACCCTCATGCTTATAGAATAAGCAAAGTTCTGTAGTTTTAACTAGCTTGCACTGCAAATGTTCCTTACGTCGATATTTAAGTGAGTGTTGTTTTAGTAGAAACGAGCTATTTTCATGGCTTTTCATGGCCAACATCACTGCGATGCCTATAGTGTTTTAAATTACACGTAGCAATAACTACAAGTAATGGAAGTAACCTTTGAGATGGCGGAGCGGTAACACTTGGCTTGCCTATCTGGCACCTTGAGTTAGAGTTTGCGGGTGCTAAATGATCGTTAAAGATGCCCCGTTCAATGTCCAGATGATTAACTTATCTATTTATAAGGGCAAACGTCAATATACTTCTCTGTGCAGTCATAGAAGAAATAACTGGCGTAATTTGAAAAAAAAAAAAAAAACTCTAAAAAACTGTAGCTAAAAGAGAAAGTGTTCTTTTCTTTTTACTTGCTTTTCTCAAGGCGTTCTCTACAAAGCATTCAGGACACAAGGGGAATTCACTTGAATCTAGATTTTTTCTTTCATCCGTAAGTAGGTTTCAGTAATGCTTCGTGTTGCTCTTGCCTGGTGTGTACCACGACCGGCCGGTCAGTGATGACTCGCTGAAATAGAATCATACTGGAATTCTCGACCACAAAACATAAGAGGCCATTAAGCCAACAGTTCACCTATTCTCGATGAAAATGAAAGTGTATAGCAATTAATCATTCCGTATTTAGCAACTGAACCTTTAGAACGTCGTTGTGGGTCTAGAAAATAGAATTCACCCAACCCAGAAGTAATGGCAGTTTTGGTTGAAGTACACCGTTGGATGAAGCGGTATCCAACTCGTACCATTTAATACCGTCCTGCAGAGAGAATTAAGGTTGTTCCTAGTGAAATCGTTTTACCAAAGCAAGAAAGCTTCCCGCTCATCGTAAATCGCTTTAAAACAAAAATTATATATATATATATATATATATATATATTGTCAGACTCTCCCAGTCAGTCTCCGGACTCTTCTAATCAGTTCTCGGAATCAATTGTCAGACTGGGAGAGTCTGACAATATATATTGTTTTACATTAGA